AACATCATTATCTCACGGATTACAGTTTCTACACTGATTAGAGACCAAACATGTTTGGTTTTTTAGGGCTTTGAATTTGTTAATGTATCTGATAATTGCCACCACTGAGTTTCTGCGTGCTCTCTGTAAGATCAAAGAAATATTGATTAGATGTCTTACCTTAACACAGTACCTGACATAGTTATCCTTATTGAAAGTCCAAGGTTTTACTCTACCATAGTTGTATCAAGTTTATGTTAAGTTGTATAAGACCGGCAATCTAGAAAAGTTAGATATCAACTTGGAAATCGGCTGTCAATTACTCTTCAATGGTGTTGTATACGGTGCGATTAAACTGAAGTGGAAGTATTAGTATTCGCTTTATATTTCGTCCTCAGCAGTTACGCGCCCTTGAAACGCTTCTGTTTTAGACCAAGTTCTAAAATCACTGATCGAACAGTTTGCAAAGCGAAGAATCTATCACTTCCCCAGTGTGATTGCTGAAAATGGAAAATAATCTCTGATCGTTTGTGAGCTAGCAATTGCTCTTTTATCCAAGCTAAGCATTAAAAATTGATTTATCGGAATTATTCGTCAAGAGTCCCACTGTGCTGTGCAGTAGTTAATGTTTTTTAATATCTCTTTTATTTATTTAAATATCTACATGCTAACGTTGCTGTGTATATCATTGTAGTTGTCGTTGTTGTTGTCACTTTCGGTTGTGCGGTTGCAGCTTTATGATGATTTACAATATTATTATATGCACCCATGCCGTGCTACGTCACCCCGGCGCACCACCACACGCCTTCATCGTGCTCGTCGTCACCCTTCGTGGCCGCGCTAGCTCGTTGCCTGCCTTGTCTTGCTTGCCTTAGCTTACCAGGGTTATGCGGTGGGCTGACCGATTGGCGCGTTGACCAGCTGTCTGACTAACTGACTGAGTGGCTGACTGACTGTCACATTGGTTTAGTTGGCTAGCTGGATCGTTCGTTGGATTGCTTGGTTGGTCGGTCGGGTTGGCCGTTGGAATTGCTCGTGTTATTTATTCATAATAATTTGTGTCTGTTTTGTTTTTGTAATTTGTGCACTTCGCTGTCGGCAGCCGCTTGCTGCTTGCCGTTTGGCGGTTTTTGTCTCTGCGCTACGTTCACTGCTTGCTGATTATGCTTGTGTGCTGTGTGTGTTTAGCTTTGCGCTGGGCGGCCGTTAGCTCGAGCTTGTTGGAGTGTATTTTTAATTAATTGCATTTAATTGCGATAATTTGTGTGCACTTTAAATGCAAAATGCGAGTAGCAATTGAGTGCGGATTTTGTGTTGTGATGTGATGCGGTGTGGCGTGTGGTTGATGGTGTGGTGCCCGTTTACAGCGTTGCATTTCTGCGTATGCTGGGAATAAAAGCGAATGCAACAAAAACAATACAATCTATGGAGGAATGTGCAGTGATAAATAACCTATCGGTAGCAAAACTACAACAACAACAACATATCATATTACAGCAACAACAGTATGCATAGCGGCGTCAATCAGCAAAACGAACACTTTACAAGTCGTCAAACGACAGCAGCAACACCACACCACCCCATTCACCAATCACCATTGCCATGTACACTCATCACCGCTGCAACACCTCACCGCCATCTCACCTCAACCACCATCACCAATGAACATTATCGCTGTCGACATCGTCATTGGGCAATTGAAATTGTAATTGAGTGTTTCGTTATTGATTTATTGAAGTTGATTTATTGCCAAAATGTGTTTACTGCTGTTTATACGTCAGTCGTTGGTGTTTTTGTTGTTGTTCTCATTCCCATTTGTTAATGTTATTGCTGTTGCGTTCCTTCGCTTCATGCGATTGGCATTCCATTTGTTGTTGCAGTAAGTGGATTTGACGCTTTATTACTGCTGTTATTTTTGCTATTATCCTTGATTTCGGATCCTCTTTAATGTTGTTGTGATTGTTGTTGTTATTATTCGTCCTTTTAGGCAACCAGCCAACAGTAACACTTACACATCAGCAAAGTGGAAACTCATTTTACAGCTGCTCAATACCGCACAGCGTACGAAGGTAAGAAAATTGCCTACCAAGGATGTAATCGTGTGTGTGTGTATACATATATATATGCATGCTTGCGTGTGCACAGCTGCATTCGCATAAAGGTTCCGCGCTTTTAAGTATGCGTTTGTGTTAATTTGATTACAAATAAACCATTTACGCCTCATTGTGCATTCATATCTTTCCGCCTATCCACACATATCGACTTACATGTATTCCATATATACGCAGGTATGAACCTTGTTGTGCAGCCCTCAGGTATGTCTGTTGTGGTATTTTGTTGTTGCATTTCATTCTGTCGTCTCCAATTTTCATATGGGTAGGTCCAGTGGTGGTTTTTCTTTAAAAAATCTGAAGTTTCTTGCTTTCTTGTTATTTTTAATTTCCTTGCTTCGTTTTCCGATTCATCTCATATTTCGTGCACTCAATGCAGCACTTCGTTCTGTATGTTTGTGTGTGAAATGTATGTGCATTCCCTGTAGGAAGCGCTGTTGTTTATATTTTTTAAGGTCACTTAATATTGTCTTCCATTAATCTTCAGACGAAAAAGACAGTATACTATTTGAAGATATTTTAAAGTCTAAAGTTTCAAGATTTTGACTTGATTTGTGTTATTTTAAAATCAAATAGTGAAAGCATTACTGCAAGTTTTTTTTATTAAGATCTCTTATTCCACTACTAGAACAAATTCAATAAAAAATGCGAAGTTTTAATGTAAGAAATCCACATTATATGATATTATAACAGTAAATTTTTATTAAAACAAAATTAGTATCTACGCTAGCTATATTAAGGAGTTACATGGGTTTCACGGTTAAAAAAAATTTTTTTTTTTTTGTTGTCTTATTTAATTCTACAACATCTCTAGAATATTGTCCCAAATTTCAAGTTGGTCGCAGTAATAGCTTTGGAGATACAGCTTTGAAAAGTTACGCGCTCGAGTTAAGCTATATAGTTACTAAAAACTTTAAACGCTTTTTTCTCGAATCTGTGTTTTTAAATTCGGTTGTCCAGATTTCTTGCGAAGTAGTCAACCGATCTTAATGGAATTATACACAGGTCTTTGAGATATAATTTACAAAGTCTTGAACGAAGAATTTTTTTTGTGTTCAATTACAACTATTTAAAAAACAAAAAACGTCGAGAAATTCTGCCAAAAATACAATTTTCACTTTATTTGCTGTTTCTCCGTCCAATACTTAGTAAATGGTCTTAGTTAAAACACGTATTTTGTTTTTTTTTTTACTTGATCTTGTCCGAAGCTCTGCTGTCAACGCGGAAGCACCCTTTTTCCGAGAGACTGTCGGAAATGACGTCATAATGACCGAGTTTTGAATATTTTCCGTTGAAAATTTCACAAAATCTTTATCAAATATATATCTTCGCAATAATAAAAAGTTTCAATAAATTATTAATTATTTTTATATGAAAACCCATGTAACCCCTAAAAAATAATGTATACACAAAATTATATAAGATTTACTAAAAAGAAATCCATTGTTTGTTTTACATTTACTTATCATAGTTAGAATTATTCGATCTAGAGAAACTGCACTATTTGGGTCGAAAGATAATTGCCATACTAAAGGTAATTTCATAATGCTACTAATATAAAAACCCTCGTCCTTGTTGGCAGAAAAGTTGCACATTCGGTTTTTATAAGCTTCTCTTCAAGCGAATTTTTCACGAGCAAAATTTCTTGCCATTGACAGGAACAGGTAGTACGTAGCAAGCTCCCAAAACTTCTGGTGAGTCTCTATTGACGTGCGTGGCCTTATGTAACACAATTCCTCTACTACTGGTCAAAGCTGGTCACTTCCCGGTTGCTTACTTCAGAAGGTCCACTTATTTACAGTACTCCTTGCCACTCATAGCAAAATTTTTCTGATCGTCAATTCTGGCTTGTCCACCCTTTGCGTCGGCTCACCACCATTCGAGCACCACTTTTTCGTAAGTGACCCACTTTTCATCACCATATGCTTCTCAGTTGGATCGATTCGCAGATGGAAATTCGATCCCTGAGGTTTTTTGACGTGACACTCAAACATCGAGCTTCTTATTTTATTGTATCCAGCCTTATTTAAGTGGTATCAAATAGTTTTTTTGTGTCATGCTTAGCAGCTACTGGGCGATCGAAACAGTGCTTTCAGGACGGTCGGATTTTCATTGTTTTATCGATATTTTCGAGTTAAAATTTTTCCTACGGGGCATCTTGCATTTGTATACCTATTGTTGTGAGCCCCAGGAAGGACACGTTTGTGTTTTTCCTGTCAATTGCAGCGAATTTAATTGTACAACCTTTGCATTCATGTTTATTGCACTAGATGGACCCCATTCTGGTGCATTGTACTGTCTGTAATTATATCTGCTACTTCACTTGCTTTACATTTGGCTGCATTGAGGCGTTAACAAGCCAATAACTGCGGCGAACTGTATTTACATGTGACCCTCTACACAGTGGGAATATGTTATGAATTGTTTTTCCAAAAATTTTGAAATATATTATATAAAACTTTTACGCCATAAATAATATTAGAAAATCGCGAAAAAAAGTTATTTGAAAAATTTTTCGAAATTTTCGAACAAGCATCTTTTTCAATCATCAAAATTAATGTTTCTTAAATAATGAAAAATATTTTGAAAATTTTTTCGGAATTTTCGAAAATCGATTTAACGTTTTCTTTTACCACCACTGTTCGTGGGTACGTATGTACGTGCTTTGGGCATATTTACCCTTAAATATCATCATCGCCATCAGCATCATCACTGCTCTATCAATTACCTTTGTCGTTTTTTTTTCTTTCTATTTTTTGATGGTTATGAATTTCCAATTCAATTTCAACCACCCCATACCGTTGATACTGCTATTGTTACCGTGTTACTATACTTTCAATTATTGAAAACCATAAAATAATCTTTATTGTGTGACTAATGCATCATTTGTTGTTGTTATTTCTTTTACAGTTTAAATATCATATCATCATAGAGGGCAATAAAAAGCTTAACACTGGACCGGAAGCGTGTCTTTAAAGGGTAATGGCGGCCTCCACTCAGGGAGAAATTCGAGTGGGTCCCGGCCACCAGGTAAACGATGTCTATGTACGTACATAACTCACGAAAATCTCACGGTAACAAGTCTAATTTTTCAAATTCAAAATTTTCATCAAGCCAATTCAAAATACAAAGAGCACGAATAGAAATCAATTCGATTCCAAGTCTTAACGTAATCATCATAATCGTATCATAAAGTTCATGCACTAGTCATCATAATATTAATTTTTTTTTGTTGTGTCTTTGATTTAATTTTTTCGAGAGAAGCTTTCGTTTTGTATATATTGTACATACATATGTATGTGTTGTTGTTGCTACTTAGCGTTGAGTTGTAGTTACATGAATACAGATTTTCACATTTTAATTTGCTGTCTGCTGACACGGCTGACAATTTATTATTTATTTACGCGTGTGTGCGTGTGTTTGTTGTAGATATTTTTGTTGTATTTCGAGTTTTAGCCTTTTGTATTTGTATTTTATTGCTTTGCGGTTTTAATTTCATACATTTTTGTTTTTGTTTAGTCGTTTTTGTACATTGTTATAATTAACTTATGCTCAGTTTAAATGTGTGCGAGTGTGTGTGTGTGTTGGTTTGCCAGCATTTTCATTTGATTATGCCTGTGTAATTAGCGCTAAGCGTATAATCGCATTTAGAGGCGGTTTTAGATATTTAAATAAATACATTTGTAATTAATAGCATACGTAAATACTTAGACTCACGACAAATATGGGTTAATTGAAACTTAATTGTCGGTATTTTGCTGGTTTTGACGCCATGTCACTTAGTTATATTTACAAAGGAGTTTATTGCATTAGCCAAGCGGGTAAATAAACTAATTGATGGGATTATTAAATTTTTGAGCTAAACAGATTTGAGCGTCAAATGTTCAGTGCGCTGTGCAGCAATGCATATCTACAAGTGCAGATTTAATTGGAAAATTCGACTAAAATATGGTATATGTATTTCGTGAATTCTTGGCCAAAAACAATTCTCCATATTCGCCAGACATGGCGCCGTGTGAGTTCTTCCTATTTCTAAAAATAAGGAGAACCTTTAATGACCCGCATCGCTGAAAGAGCTAAAGGCTATTCCAAAAATCGATTTGGAGAAAGTTTAGATGATTGGAAGAAGCGCTGGCATAACTGCATAATATCGAATAGGGACTATTTTGAAGGCGACAACATTAATGTAGACAAATAAATAAATATTTTTTTTTAACAAACGAAAATTTCCGTTAAACCTCATTATTTAGTTGTTTTTGTTTAAAACTTGTATTTAAGAGTTTGATACAACAATTGAGAATATCATTGATCAATAAAAGTTTCTTCTTTCACAAAAACACCTTGAAAGCATAAAAAGTTCTATAAAAAGAGATACTTTTTCCCTAAGATCCAAATAATAGAAATCTTCGTCGAATGTGTACTGAAAAAAGTTGAGAGCATTTCTGTTATATTTAGTGCTAAAGGTGCAAAACTTTATCCTCGAAAATGAAATAAATTAGTTTCTAAAACATAAAGTTTTAACGTTTCCCAACAACAATACTGGTAAAATCATTTGTACTCTTCTGCTCTATTACTTAAGCTTTCAGTTATTTCAATGGCTCCAAAAAGTATGTCAGCTGTTTGTTGTTAATAAATTCCTCGAGTATTTTGTTTATCAAATTGAATAAATTGAATTCCAGACCTAAAAAGAACAAAGAACTCTCTACAATTGTGATAAGTCAAGAAGACATTTTTATAAACTTTTATAATTATAAATAATAAAGTTCCCTAAACGTAATTTCCTTTGTTTTGCCAGAAAATTTTTAAAATCATCGAAAGACTTCGTAATTTGTATAATAAAGATAAGCAAATCTTCTAGTAGAAATCTGAAATTGAAAACTAAAGGAATTTTTATCCATAATGATGTCAACAATAACAGCTTAGCAAAGTTAGCTTAGGTTCAAGCCAGTTTAAATTTGGGGTTTCGGTTTGTTGTTAGCCCAAAACTAATATACATATGTATGCAATGTTAAAATATAAATATGAATTAGAGTAAAAGTAAATATATAGTTAACAACATATGTATGTACTGTCAATGTACTTAAGTAATTTATTATTTATTTAAGTTTATTTTTTATTATTATATCTACTATACTCTCGCTAGTAGCAGCAAGTTGTCACTGCATAATTGTAGATATTTACTAGCTGCGCAGTAAGCTTTAGATATTTATGATTTTAACATTTTATTTGTTTACCTTATTAATTTTTTTTATTTTTTTTATTTCATTTGGTAATTTTTATTATTTACTGTTCAAGTAATAATATTTCTGTAATGTTTTTTCTCATTACATAATGATTTAAATCCTATAATCCTTTATATATTCATTTTTTATTTTTAATTAATCTATGTTTTTTTTTTTTAAATAATTATTAATTATTATTTTTCATAATTTTAAAATTTTTTTTGTTTTTTATAAATCAGTTTATTTCTTTTTAATTTTTTTGATTATACATTTTTATAAGGTTTTTTTTTATGTTTTTATATATTTTTATTTTTATTATTTATGTAATATTTTAATTTTTATAAAATTTTTTGTATTTTTAGTTTATTATAATTAATTTTATATTACTTATTTTGAATTAAATAATTTTTTATTTATTAATTAAATAATTTTTTATTTAGTATTTTTTAAAATAAATTAAACATTTTTTTTTATTTTTATAGATAATTTACTTCTTTTTTTACTATTTTATTTATTGCATTATATTTATTGTTCACTATAATTTATTAACTTTTAGTTAATATTTTTTTTTATTGTTTTTTGTTAATTTTTATTATATTTTTTGTTAATTATTTTTTGTTTGTTAATTTTTATTATATGTTTTGTTAATTGTTATTTTCTTTTTTGTTACTTTTGTGCAATTATTACTTTGTTACTTTTGATGTCATATTAGTTTTTCAAATTTACTTTGACATTTCATTCATTCATTCATTTCATCGCACATGCTATATGTGTATGTATGTATACGCATAGTATTATTTTCCCCTATAATTGGCTCACAATAATTGACAATTAGTACATTAAATAAAGTTGCTTAACTCGTTCGCAAAATACGTTGAGGCTTCCAGCCTGCCAATAGAGCAAATGGGTTCTTATAATAAGTTTTGGTTTTCAACCCAACCCAAATCAACCGAACCCAGTCCTCCCATCCAAACATTAATCACTCATTACAAATACAAATACAATACCGTTATATGTATGTGTATGTATGTACATAAGAGTAAATACTATATGATATATAGAACCAGAGTATAACTTAATGATAGTAGACTTTTCCGTTGTTGTTGCTGTTGTGTAAACGAGATAATTATATAATAAAATATGGTAATATAAATATAACAAATGCAAATAAATAACTATTAATCAAACAATAATAATGTATATAATATAAATAAATATTTTAACTAAATGCTAATCTAAGGTAAAAAATCACTTAGAAAAGCGCAATAAGCAAAATAAAAAAAATAAAAAATACAAAATACAAAAACAACTATTAATTAACACTTAACAATGCATATAAGTTTTACTAATTGTGAAATTGTTTTATGGACACAAAAGGCAAAATTGCCCGATTATAATCCAATTTCAAGCTTCCCCGTTGACAAAGAGAGCGACGAACGTGAACTAGAAGAATCAAGATGGAGTCCTGGCATTGTGGCCGATGGCGATTTGTTAATGTTTTTGCGTGCGGCGCGTTCTATGGCTGCATTTCAAGGTAATAAAGTGTGTGCAAATAATAACAATTATTTATAGATTTCATTTAAAAACTTTTCAACAATTATTATTCACTTTGCCTTTCAGGAATGTGTGATGGAGGTTTAGAAGACGGTTGTTTAGCTGCTAGTCGTGACGATACAACAATTAACGCATTGGATATTGTGAGTATCACACCCAAGCACACTTTCCATTGTATGAGCTTTCAATGTACTTATACTTATATGATATTTACACATGTATATGTATATATGTTATGTTAATATTTCCTCTTAATTTCGCTTGTTTATTTAGTAAACTTGCGAAAAGGCGCCCGCTTACATTTATTTGTTCGTGCCGGTGTGCATTATTCACACTTTGAAAAGTGTTAATATTTCTCATATAACTGTTGTTAACACTTCTGTCGAAAAGAAATTCCTTTTAAATGAATGTAACTGTTAAAAAATTCCCTTTTTTGCATTTAATATTTGATAAAAAAAAACATTTAGGTTAATAAATTTTGACGTGAAAAATATTAGTAAAATATAAAATAAAATAATCAAATTTCTTTAAAAAATATTATTGAAGAGCTGCACTCTAGGGTTTTATAGATTTTGTATTACTTTTATAATTTAGGAACCTTTGCGGTATGCATCTGTCTGCATATACGCGAGCTAGTCCTCCAGCTTTTGAGATATGGATCTGAAATTTTGCACACGTCATTTTTCCTTCAAGAAGCTGCTTATTTGTCTGAAGCGCCAATATCAGACCACTATAGGATATAGCTGCCATACAAACTGATCGATAAAAATTAAGTCGTTGCATATATAATACAAATTTTTTGTTTGAAATGATATCTTCATGAAATTCGGCACATATAATTGACCAATGCAACGCTACAATCTCCAATCAAATTGTTCAGATCGGACCACTATAGCATATAGCTGCCATTCAAACTGACCGATCAAAATCAAGATAAATTTCTTCATAAAATATCAATTTTTCTTATTGAGTAATCTAAATTCCACTTGAAGGTTTTTTTTATATCAAACAACATGGCTAGACAACAAAACATTTTCCGTTGCATTCAAATCGTAGGCCAGTTACGTTTTCAGATTGAAATATACATATTGTTGCTACAAGAAATGCATCTGTGCTGGGCTCGGAGCAGCAAAAGTTAACGTTTTTTCTTGTTTAAATACATTTTGTTTGTTATCTAGAAAATAAAATATAGTCGTTCAAGTATTTATTCTCCGAAGTGGCTAAGAAAAGTAATTATGATTTGCATTATAAGTTGCCACTTGTCATTTGAGAAATATATTTACCATTTTATATTTACGAAGATTAATCATATACATATTTCAAATATGTAGGTCTCTCTGTCTCTCTGAAAATTAGAAGCGTAAGAGCAAAATAATCTATAATAATATTCTATACACAAATTGAATAAAAAACATGACATCGTAAAATAAATATTAAATAGGAATAAAGAGGAAATGGTATAAATAAATGATGTAGTTCTAATGTTAAAAATGTACACACACTATACTATAGCCTGAGTTACCATCTTAAAAAAAAAAGAAACAATTTTTTAGTCAAATTCTGTAACATACATAAATATCTACGAAGCAGATAAGCCCATCAAAGAAGTCTTAGGCGAAATAAGTTCGGAACAGAGTTTACACTTCTTTCAAGAATTCAAATTGCTGTAAAAAGGAGTTGCCATACAATTAAGTATGTCAACTGTTATAATAAGATCAAAAAGTTCGCTGCTAAAAAGAATAGGAGAATCGTATAAACAATTTAGATGAAGACGACATGGATTCTGATTCCAAAAATATTTTCAAGCATGAAAATTCGGGTTTTAAGTATATATTTAGGGATTAAACCGCGATACGTTACAGGTATTTCTATATAGCAAAAACTTTCAAAATTAAACCACTGTGTTGTAAATTATTAAATTTCAATGAGAAAAATTTTAAAGTTTTTTAAAATCATAAATATATCAATATATTTAATAAATTTAGTAAGTCCCTAATGTGTAGACACACATATACCTATTAGTGTTCAAATACAATTCATACACAACTCTCCAGTAATTTGAATTCATGGCGAAAGCAATCATTAAATCATTTAATTGCCATTGAATGTTCGGTGTCAAATACACTACAGTTATGCAAATACATATATACCATATTGTTCGTATGTGCATACATCATCTTATAATTTCCTTCGAAGTCAATTGAACCCGTTTTATTAGTTAGATTAGATTTAATTGATCGCTGTGCATGCCATCAATGTGCATATTCGTAATATTTTAATTAGCAAATTAATCAAGTTTATGAAAATAAAAATTATATTATATAAACAATAAGTGTTATGTCTCATCACAACATAAATGTAGTAATGGACAGTGAATTGCATTATTTCAATATTCTGAAGCAAAAACAGCGAAGTACTGCTAACGATGTTTGTTTTTGTTGATAATTTTGCACGTTTAGTTGCTCTGATGTTGCGAATGCTAATACTCGAATGTATGGCTACTAGTGCAAGTATAGTAGCCGATTGGCAACCTTGCACGTAAATTTTAAGTAAATAAGTTGTTTTAGAATTTAAAATCTATAGTGCTGCTCACGTTTTCAAGTATACTGAGATTAGTGGCCATATGCAATACAAAAGGGTGATATAATAGCCATGACATTAGACGCTGAGTTCTTCACCAGTTGTCTTACATAAAACGGATGTATGCTTCTGCTCATTCAAAGAGCAAATTTTAAAGTGAAGTCATCTTCTGTATACACGTATATACATATATATATATATATATAATATAACAATTTAAGATGTTAGTAAAGCTTCAATCAAAACATTATTCTCTACGGGCAAGCCTTAAGAATATATTTTTTTTACACTATCTTACAAAAAAAACTTTAAAACTTAATTCTCTAGTAGTAAGCCTTACGGATATATTTTTTTTTACATGAGTTTACATATTTTCGAATTTTAGTTATGAAATTTTGCAATTAATAATACATTTTGTCTTTCTCAAACTGGTTTTGATTTTCTCTCGCTCTCTCCCTCTCCAATTAAAGTTACACGATTCTGGTTACGATCCAGGCAAAGCACTACAAGCACTCGTTAAGTGTCCCGTTTCGAAGGGCATCGATAAAAAGTGGACGGAGGACGAAACAAAGAAATTCATTAAGGGCTTACGGCAATTTGGTAAGAATTTCTTTCGCATACACAAAGATTTACTACCGCACAAAGAGACACCCGAATTGGTGGAATTTTACTATTTGTGGAAGAAGACACCGGGTGCCAATAATAATCGACCGCATCGTCGACGCCGGCAAAGTGCCTTGCGTCGCAATCGTGTCACACGCGCTAGTAATACACCTCCGAAGAAGGAGGATACACCGGAACCACAAACGGCGACGACGGCGTCAGCGGCGGCAGATTCGACGCGCTCGTCGCCCGTTGTCTCCAAGGAGGAGAATAGTTCTCTAACCGAGGACGATATCAGCGAGTGCGACAGCGATTCCAGTCTGACAAACAAAAGGGATGAATCACCATCTAGAATGAGGACACGCAATAAACAGCAGCAACAACAACAACAGAATAATAATACAAAAGAGCAAGTAGCGAATGGTAAACGACCCAAACGTGGTACTGAAACTCCCGACACAGTGACAGCGGCCGATAGTCCAAAGACACCAACTAAAGGAGCAAACATAAACGCTGATAATAATACGACAACGACGGTGGCGGCGAATAAGCGTAAGGGCGGTAAGCAGGATACGCCGAACAAGAAGAAGCGTACCGATGTGGATGGTAGCGCAGGTTCTGGCAGTGGCGGTGGCAGTGGTGATGTCACCGATGATGGCAGCAGTCTTAGTAAGGATAGTGGTAAGCGCAAGCGATCCGATAGTCCGGCGGAAGAGAGCATGAACTCGGATAGTCGACCTGATTCGGTAATGGATGATGCCGAGTCAAATACGACCGATACCGTCGAACAGTCGCTAAAGGAAGGCAAAGATAGCTCCGCCGGCAAAGAGGATAGTGGTGCTGCAGATGGCGATTCAAAGGCGGACATTATTGAGAAATCAGAAAAGCCTGCTGAAGACACCAAAGAGACGATCAAAAATGATGATGAAGAAACAAATATACAAGCGCCAGTTAGCGGACAAGCGCCTGTAGCGCCACAACCAATCGATGCCGTTAGTGCTGCTACTAAAGAGCCAATCTCCAATGTTAACGAGGAAAACATGAATGTGGTCAGTGCGCCGCCAACACCCATGAAAGTACCGACCATAGCTACCGTTGAAGCGTTAAATGCTTCTATCGGCCGCGGTGAATTGTCCACGGAACGAAAAGACACAGTCGAAAAAATGGATGTATCGGATAGTAATTCCGTCGCCGTCGATATAGCGAAGGAGCAAGAAATGATGAAAAAGATCGCTAATATGAAGCAGGAATCAATGCAGCAGCAGCAGCAACAACTGCCACCAAACAATACCAATGTTAATATGCAAGAAGCTGCAGTTTTCATTAAGAAAGAACCATTGGATGATTCCATGGATGCTACTTGTAATCAAAACAGTAACGAACCGCAAGATCTAAAGGTTAAAGTGGAGATTAAAAACGAGGAATGCAAAAATAATACGGGCATGCCGCCGACATCAATGTCTTCAGCGGTCAATGATGCAGCTGGTGGTCCGGAGGTACCCCCTCAACCGCCCCACATGCATATGCATCTGCCACCGGCCAGTGTCCAACAACCACCTGGATATATTTTAGATGGGCAACTTAAGTATGGACCGCCGCCACCACAATCGATGCCATGTAATGATAACAACGCACCGCCACCGTCGGGCATGCCCTTAGGTGGGCCCCCACCAACGCACAAATATCCTGGTGATATGGAAATGAAGTACAATGAGTCTGCAGCTGCGGCTGCGGCGGCTGCTGCCGTTGCTGGCATTAAATATGAAGGTGGCAAATTTGCAATACAGGATATCAAGTATCCACCACCTCCTCTGGAACACGCCATGAAGTATGGCACGGTACAAGACATGCAAGCTGCAGCGGCAGCGGCGGCTGCAGCTGCTGCCGTAGCGGGTAAATATGATATGAAATTTGCCTTAGAACAACAGGGCAAGTATCCGGGCGATCTATCTGCACATCAACAAACGCCGAAAGGTTTTCCTGGTGAGCAGCTAAAGTTGCCTGACATGAAGGGCTCAAGTATTTATAATATACCAAATGCTGAAAGCAAATATGCGCCACCGGCCAGTCAACCGGGCGATGTAGGTGGTTTGAAGTACGTTGGCGCAGGTGCACCGCAAGATCCGCAGCCACCACCTACACATGGTGCGCCACCTGGTGCTACGCCCCCACCCGGCATTGCGATGCCGAAACCCCACTATCAGCATGAGGTGCAACATCCATTGGCGCGTTCTTTTGAGTCAAGCTTAATGTTAAAGTATGGCGATCCAATGTCTGCAAAATATGGACCGCCACAAGATTTGAAATATCCGCCACCGCCTCAAGGCTCAAATGATGGTGGTCCAATGAAACCATCGCCGTATGCGGAAAATCTGGTTAAGGGTTCGCCCTATGGCACTCAAGAGCCTGGCGGTATGAAATATCCGCCTTCGGAAAGCCCAATAGATGCATCATCCCGTTCGACACCAGGTCAGGACAGTCAAGGTAGCAATAGTAGTTCACAGCCGTCATCACAGCAACAGCAGTTCCAATCGCCGCATCCATCACCACATTTGCCTTCACCGGCAGGTGGTGGTTTACCGCCTGGAATGCATCCACAAAATTTGGTATCACCCCATGGACCGCCATCTCATGGCCAGATGAACTCCGGTCTGCCACCTGGTGCATCTGGGCCACCACCCAGTTCAATGCATCATCCACATCTCACGCCATCCCCGAATAACTCGCAACAATTACAAGGGCCACACCCACAGTCGTCTGTAGCTTCATCAATGCCACCGACCTCAGTTGGCGCACCACCGCCATTGTCAACGGTAGCCCCGTCAGGCCTACATCCTCAACACCTCCCGCCCAGCCATCTTCAACAGTTGCATCGTCAGCATCCGGATATGCCTCCGGGTATGCATCCGCATGCACCAATTCCACTTACACTACAGGGTCATGATCCAAGAGGTGGTCCACCGCCACCTACACACCAAATGCCGCCACAGCAATTGCAATCGAGCACAGTGCGTACGCCATCACCAGCACAGCAACCACAGTCTCGTAGTTTGCACGAGGAACGCATGAATATCAATAGTGGTACACCTACTGGACCGCCACGTGAACCACCAACGTCGCAAGCATCGATGCCGCCACAACAGTCGCCGCATGCGCACCGCAGTTCTCCTTTAACTGGTATGCCGGGAAATCCGCCACCAGGTCTCATTGGTCATCCTATGCCCATACATCCACATTTAGCGCATTTGCCGCCTGGTCACCCAGCGCACGCTGCTGTCGCTGGTGTTGGCCATCCAGGACATCCAATGTTATCGCACTCAATGGCCGGATTAGGTCCGGGTGGTGGTGGCCCAATCGCTCTATTAGCTGGGCCACCATCGTTGACTGGCATGCCAGAGTCGCCACTCAGTAGACGCACACCACCATCGCATATTGCACCACCGCATTCCTCGTCTGCACCGCCACACTCATCCGTTGCTGTTAGTCTGTCTTCTACCACAACTTCAGCCAGTACTGCGTCAAGCACGAATACTGTGCCATCGTCTGCCTTCAGTCGCGCTAGCCCGAGCGTGCAAGGACCGAACTCCAACATTGGTGGACCACAAAGCATCGGCGGCGGTGGTGGTGGTAGTGCTGGATTGCCTGGAAATAGTGGTGCACCTGGTTCAAACGCAGCGCATCGTTCAACTTCGCCTGCTTCAAGTGTTGGTAGTTTAAGTCGACAAAGCCCGCTACATCCGGTACCGCAAAGTCCACTCAGCCATCATCCGTCGTCATCAGCACTTTCGGCGGCGGCAGCTGCAGTAGCAGAGCGAGATCGTCATGCACTCTTGCGACAGCAATCACCGCACATGACACCTCCGCCAGTATCCAGCGCTTCCACGTTGATGGCCAGCCCGTTGAGCAAAATGTATTGTCCCCAACCGAATCAACGTGTACTGGGCACATCACCGCCACCGCATTTACGGCCTGGCGCTTCACCGCCTGTCATCCGACACCCACAAATGCCACTGCCATTGCCATTAATTCCAACAGGCGCTGGTATACCACAAATAGCCGTACATCCCGGACAGTCGCCATATCCCCATCCACTTTTACATCCTTCAATGTTCTACTCCCCGCATCATCACAATCCCTTCAATTATGGCTATGGACCATATGGGCCAGGTTTCCCCACAGCTTACATGAAACCACCGCCCCCTGGTGGACCACTTGACCCAGCCTCGGTGCTAGGTGGACATCATCCTGGTCTACCGGGACCGCCTCCCACACGTCCCGACGATCCAGCAATGGCAGCTGCGGCAGCGGCGGCGGCCGAGAAACAAGCTGTAGCTGCACACCAGCTTAAACAACAGCAACAACATCATCAGCATCAACAACAACAGGCAGCAGCACAAGCGCAAGCTCAGGCACAAGCTCAAGCACAGGCACAGGCACAAGCACAAGCGCAAGCGCAGGCTCAGGCACAGAACAAACCCCCAACACCAAAGACGCCGCAGGGCAGCAACAGCAGTGGCGGTCCGCCGGGAAGTTCACATTCTGCGCCTACTGGTCTGCCACCAGCTGGTTATCCAGGAGCGCATTTAGCCGGTTATCCACCGCCACCGCACTCCTCGCCATTCCAAGATGGTCAACAAATGGGTATGAAGCCAACGTCGCACATGGATGCGTTAAGAGCGCATGCACACTCGGCTAATCTGGGCGGCCCACATCACCCGACGGAGCCATGTAAGTGTCGCTATGCTGTCTAAAGTACAATCATTAAATATACAAATCTCTTATATCCTGCAGTACCGATTGACATCGAGCCTGATCCAGAGCCAGAAATCCCCAGCCCTACGCAAAATATACCGCGTGGTCCTAGTCCCGAAGCCAAACCCGACGACACCGAATGCCATCGGTCGCAGTCAGCTATGTAAGTCATAACCGAAATACACTATTTGGCCTGGTTTCCCATGCAATTTTATACATATATACTCTAATAGCTTTGTGCGTCACATCGATCGTGGTGATTATAACTCCTGCACGCGTACGGATTTGATTTTCAAGCCTGTGGCAGACTCGAAATTGGCGAGAAAGCGTGAAGAGCGCGACAGAAAGCTAGCCGAAAAGGAACGCGAGCGGCGTCAGGTGAGTATTAAAGTAGTAAAAATTGTATAAAGTCATACTAACATAACATCTTCTACGATATATTTGCTTAGCAACAACAGCAACAGCAACAACAGCAGCAGCAACAAGCTGTTGCAGCGCAACAGGCGGCCCAACAGGCTAAATTGAAGGCCGAACTTAAACCCCCATATGCGGACACGCCAGCATTGCGTCAGTTATCCGAGTACGCCAGGCCACATGTGGCTTTCAGGTGAGTGTGGCAAATGTAGATTTGACGTTGTGCACAGGTTCAGCGCATAGAACTAATTTTTCGTTAGAATTTAGTTAAAATATTCGAACAGTGATTTGGCAAAAAGTAAAATCTAAACAATTGCAAAAAAAAGTCTGAAATTCTCTTGACTTTCTTAATTTTTTTTAGTAATATTTTTGGCAAATAATGAACCATTTCGGCCTTGTTGTATCACTTGCAAATTAAAGTCATACATTAAAAATTCATTTCTAATTTTTTTTTATAATCTTAATTTTTAAACTTCGTATCATTTACTTTTGTTTTTCACATTTCCACATCTATACTTGTTTTTAGTTATAGTATAGGTCGTTTGCATATGCCTGTATGTATGAATGTATTTATGTATTTTACGACACGAAATGAAATAATTGAAAATTTATACGTCTGTATTCTTTTGAATTATTTCAGCCCTGTTGAACAGATGGTACCATATCATCACCCAATGGGGCCAATGTATAGTAGAGAGAGGTACAGTTGCCTAAAAAAACATCATTGTTAATTTACTAAACACATAAAACTTCAAAAAGAAATCGAGTAATGTCAAATAACTGCTTGAACAGCTTCCCATCATGTCAAAATACCTGCTGAACTACTCTATCACTTCATTTACATTTATATTTTATATTACAACATGAATTTATAAGAAAATTATCATCTGCTTACTGATTCATATTTGAGATAAATTTGTAACAATTCTTTCGACATGCCAGCACTGTTAAAAATATTTCTTGAAAATCTTCTGATTTTCATGTATTCTGATTTTCATGTATTCTATGTGTAAATTCTTATTAATTTTTTATTTTCATATATAGTATATGTATGTATTTTCTAAATTTTAGAATTTTTAAAATGACTTATTTTCTAACGATATTTAGATGCATCTTTTTATTATTAGTAAGTGTGTCATAACCAGGGTTGCGAATGAGGGATTGTTGCATTAAAATTAGATTTTAAATTTTGAATTTCAATTTTGGGATTTGCAAATTCAATTTTTGATTCCGATTTTTAAATTTTTGATTTCGATTAAATTGAAAATTTTAACTTTTAATTGAATAATAAAAATTCTAAATGCAATTTTTAACTTAAAAATTGGAGTAACAAATAAAAACAAATTTCAAATTGAAGGGTGGAGGGTGGAGGGGTGGAAAAGCGATAAAAAATGATTGATGAAATGAGCAATTAAATATATGTAAATAATATGTTTATTTTGAAAAGATAGCCAAATTGGACGAAGTACGCAAACGCGAAAAAATGTAATTTCTCAAAAAAATTTTTTTTTTAGTTCTTAATTATAAGCTTGGTAAAATTTTTTTCTTTATTTTTCATTCCGGTATTTGGGATTAAAAAGTCAAAAAATATTTGTTATTAAGACTTTAGGAACTACAAAATAAATAAAAAATTAATTCAAATGCTAATCCAAATATATTTTAATGCATTATTTGCAGCCCTGCTTAAGATACGATTTTTTTATTTTCCTATCCGGTATGTGGCATTAGAAATTAAAAAATTATCTTTAAATTCCATTTCGGTATTACAAAGTAAAAAAAAAATTAATTCAAATGTTAATTAAATAATTTTTTTTAAGCATAATTTGCCATAACTGCGTATGAGCTACTATCGGAAGATTTTTTTTTTTTTTTGTAAATATGACATTTTTTCTGCAATATTTACCCAAATATACATATTTAAAAATATATCTACCAAATGTGTTTAAAATTCAAAATTTTTTTTAATAATTTCTATCTTTCCAAGTATTTGGTTACATTTTTTGAAATACGCATATATGTATGTAGGTATAATATATATATATATAAACATATACATATGTACAAATTTAAAAATAATATTATTATTTAAAGTTAGAAAATAATATTATTATTTAAAATTAGAAAATAATATAAATATATATACAAATTTGTCGTGCTGGCATGTAGTTTTTTCTTTTATATTAATTTACATGTGTTGTACTTCGTTTGCTTGCTACCATTACTCTATATTTTAGTTATTTCTCATTGCTTTTCCCCATTAATGTTTACTAAATTATAAATGCCATAACACGTTTTTCATATATTCCCATGTTTCATTTCGCCATGCATTCCAAATCTATCATTCTGCCAAAGAATTCCCTTCTTTACCTAACTACCGCAAAAGTTGTCGATGTATATATTTTATTGCTTTCTTTTAACGCTACTCGATTTTTAGTTTTTCTATTAAACGAAATATATTAATTGCTTTAAATATACTTTTAGGGAATTGGAGGAGATAAAGAACGCACAAGCGGCAGCCGCCAGTCAGTCGCGCATGGATCCGCATTGGATGGAATATTACAGACGGTAAGTGTAAAAATAACTCTTAAAAATAATTGCTTATTAATTATACATACATACGAGTATATGTATATAATATTAATTACATTAAAAACTTTGTTTACACACATACACAGTGGCATTCATCCATCACAATTCCCGCTGTACGCCAATCCTGCGGCTATTTCACAAATGGAGCGCGAGCGCTTGGGCATACCGCCGCCACATCATGTTGGCTTAGATCCCGGCGAGCATATGGTAAATATACAAAATTAGTTACAAAAACAAAAACAACAAAAATAAAAATAAAATAAAATAGCACCTACAATAATTATGTATTACAAGAAAGTCATCGTTATCATTATTGCATTATTGTTATCTCAAAATTATATTTGATATTACACATTTATCATATGATCATGAAATCGATATCATATCATACTGTCATCACATATCGTATCGTATCGATTCAATTTAAGGACATATCAAAACAAACTTTCAATCGTATTTGGAAGAAAATTTCAAAATTTGCGAATTAACCAGAACAAAAAGAAAAATATTAAAAAAAAGATATCGAACAAAATGTTTGTGTGTGTGCGTGTGTCTGTTTTCGTGCATTCATATCTAACAACCGCTCAATCACTTGTTAAAAATTTGCATATTCAGTTTGTATTTAACAATTAATTGGCGACATAATAACACTTAACGGTGATGTAATTTAACGAAAATCATAATTAAACTGAAAAATCATAAAATAACATAAAGCCAGATTGATGCAGCCATTTTTCTATTAATGCTCTATTATTGTCTGTTTGCAAGTTTGTATGGGTTCTTTTGTGTTTCGCCAACATTTAATCACAGTTCATCTGTTGCGTGTCAATGCCACTTTTTGATAAGTCGATGGCATTTATGTGTTGTCTTGTCAAACATTTTTTATTTCATATTATTCATTGTAAACTCATTTGGACTTTTTTCTAACGCTAAGCATTTAAAGAAATTGGCTTTTGCACCATTTTGCCCGCCATTTTACTCTTAATTAACAACTAATCAAAACCAAAAGTTAAGCTAACATTTGAAATGCATCCAATATTCATTTTTGTAAAATCATCAAAAATAGTTGTAATTTTTTTTTCAAACTTAAAAAAAAAGTAACGCTACAATTGTAAAAGAAAGAAATCAAAATCAAAACAAACCCCGCCTAAAAAATGCAAAAAAAATACACACTCAAAACAATTCGCTACGTTTTTGAAAATTTAAAATTTCAGATACGATTGACGAGAGAATATCATGCACACTCTCATACTCATTTACATTTGCCTTTGCCTTCACAGCCGCAACCACCGGAGGCCGGATTTCAACTGCCACGTGAGTTTGTATATAAAATACGTGCCAGCGATTCATATCGCATTGGCCATAAGTGCATGTAACCAACTAACACTTGCCTTTTTTTTATATTTTTTTCTACTTGCATATGCAGCGAATGTTGGCCAGTATCCACGGCCAAGTATGCTTATGCCTAGAGAACCGGATGTTTTGCTGCGCATGTCCTACGCCGATCAGCTTCAGGTTTTCCCATTAATATTCAATATATTTACATAATTAATTACATATATTACAGTATTTGCAGGCTGCTGAATTCCAGCGACAGTCACTGCACGAACAGTACTTTAGGTGAGTAGAAAAATCTAACCATAGCATATTCACCAGGGTGTTAACGAATTGCAATGTGCTTCAAAATGATTTGTGAAACTTGAAGTTTGGTGAAGCTGCTTTAGGCGTAGAACCTTTCCCGATGTTATGTACATCTCAATGACTTTGATCACGACCAATGTATGCAGTTTCCGCGTTTCATTCGTCTTTAGCTTTTGTTCTGTTGTGCTAGTGCTCTATTGATTTTCGATATTTACTATTGCTGAAGATGTTAGCTGACACCATAATGATGAAAAGATTTCTAAAATTTTTACTAAGTCATAAATTTCCCGATATCTACAACTAAGCAACTCTTTTCTAAACGACCAGACATACGTCCCTTGTGTTGTTGTTATAACTTCATGAAACATTTGACAAATATGTAGTTTTGTCAGATAAGCTGTCGATTTAATAGTCCATGCTACGTCTATCCATTACAAACAAGGCTTGCATCGCCATAAACATCGAAATGGGATGTTCAAAATTAATTTTTTTATACCCTGAACAAAGTATATACATATATAAATGATCCGTTTTAAGATTTAGTTATACATATAGTTGCTGTAAGAAATGCATCTGTGAAGGCTATTACAGCTTTAATGGTTTGAGTAAAATTTAAGGCTAAACAACAAAGTAACCGATCAAGTCGAGTTTTCGAAATACTAAGGTGTATTAATCAATTAATTTTTATTATTAAATGCGGCTAAAAACACTGTTATATATTTTTCAAAATATTTGACATGAAAAGCTAAACAATTACAACGCAGTACTCAGAACAACCTTTTCTATTTAATAACAATATATAATTGTTTCCCCTCTAGCATTTCGCAACAATAAATCATTTTGAAGTGCACTGCAAATATGTAATTCATGCAACCATCTTATATAATGCCCCGCCTACTTACGGCATACCACGAAAACCATAAAATGTTGCACCTAACTGATGACAGTTAGTCCATTAAACGCTAACGTCCGCATAAAAAAGTGCATATGTACATAAAAGTAATTAAAATATAAATTATACCTGATTTATGAACTGTAAATCAATTGTTTGCAATTTCGAGTTGTCAACAATTATTTAACAAACACACTTATAACTAAAAATATATTTAATTGCCGCTAAACTAAGTGTTTTTACATATATAATATCTTATTGCTGTTACGTCCATAAATTAACACACGCACACCCATTATATATGTAAACAACAACAAAAAAAATTCTTTGTCTCTGCTTTGTATGAAATTTCGTAAATTTTGAATTTGTTTTGTTTCATTTTATGTATTCTTAACAGACAACGGCCCAGATAAATGGACCACTTTGGTAGAACGTTTTATAGTATGCGTTAAGTTTTCTAACCGAACAAATGGATTGAGCATGCTGGGGAAAACTTGGAATTACATTAACGCGTCCTTTGTGTAGCGCCAGTACGTAGTGTAAACGCTTGGAATAGTGAACGTTTAACTTTAGCGCTTGTATAAATAATGCGTAGCTGCGTGCGTATACTACATCGTTCTACCAACACCAACAACAATGACAACCATCATCATCACCATCATTGACACAATCCAACAAGGAAGCCAACAAACTTATGCGTCGCAACCACTTCGCTCCACTCCACTCCACTCTACTCGATTCCACTTCACTCCACTCCTCTCCACTGTACTCCACTCGTATCAGTATCAACTCCATCATATTGTAATTTTAAGCATCATTATCGCCAATGAAATGTACAACGAACACTATTTGGTGTTTACTTTTCCATAGAATTGTGAAGTACATTTCATTTGTTGTGTAATGCTTATGCTTTGGGCAATTAATTGTTGCAATTGTTGACAATTTCTCCCCTCGACGGCGAAAAGTTAGTATACTCCTAATTTGCTAAACAACTATTTTAACTAATTGTAAATAAATTGCTTTTACTATGGCACACATTGTGTGCTATTGTTTGCATATACTTTCTGTATTGAAACAAAAAATTCTGAGCGGCCTGAAAATTTAAACAAAACAAAAATGTACATGTGCATATTGGCGTATTCACAAATATTACTTTTTTTTCAATTTTACTACTAAATTTATTTAAGCCGTCATTATTTATTTGGCGAATCTGGTGTAGAGAGTTTATATGTATATATAATATTTATAGTTTACTTACGTATTTTTGCTGTGCATGGCTGAAGCAAATGCTCCGGCTTTGTTTTTATATTTTTATTCAGTATAAAAGTTCTGAGCAATATACAATTATACAAAATTTAAGTTATTTTTCAGAGTTAAATTCATTCGTTTAATTTTAAGTCTAATACGTAAATATTATCAACAAACTTGATTTTACGGCATTTAAATACATAAATCTAAAATTAAAGTAGTTAAGATTTTTAGAAATACTTTAGTAAGTAGTTGAGCATTATAAAGATATTTAAAAAAATACTTTTTCAATTCTGTCATTCCAAACATTGGTCACATTTATGAACATCACTGTGAAGAACGATTTATAGAAGTTCAGCCACGGCCATTTTAGATTTCTATCCCTATTTTAATAGCAAATATCACATACTAGGCTCAAGCGCTAAAATACTTAAAAATTTACAAAACTTATGTTCTATTCAATCAGTATCCTCACTATTTTCGTTTATTGTCAAGTACGGATACTTCTCTGATATTATTTGAAAATGCAAAAGAAAATAATTCTTGAAACCATCATAAGTACCCAGTATTCTACAACAAAATATAATATAAAATCAATAAATTTCAGCTATAGTTTTTTTTTTATACAACAAAGAGGGTATATTAAGTTTGCCACGATTTTGCCTATAAAATACGCATATAAATGATCAGCGTGACGAGGGGAATCGACTTAGACATGCCCGTTTGTCTGTCTGTCTGTATATACACTATATACGCGCATCAGTTTTTGATATATCCAATTTAAATTATGCACACATCTTTTTCTCCTCAAGAGGTTGCCCATTTGTCGGAACTGCCGATACTACTACTACGGACTACTATAGCATATCGCATACAAACTGAACGATTGGTGCTTGTATGGAAAGTTTTTTTCATTTAACGAGATATCTTCACGATATTTGGCATTTTAATTTTAAAGACAACGCTAAAACTTCTGAACATATAATTATAGCATATAGCTGCCATACAATCTGACCAATCAAAAGCAAGTTCGTGTATGAAAACGTTTTTATTTGACAAGTTATCTTCACGCAATTTGGCATAGATTATTTTCCCTACAATCTCCAAACATATTGTTCAGTCTGGATCTTTGATCTTCATAAAAAGATCTTTTGAATGTTGCTTATATCAAATTTCGTGGCTAGAAAGAAATTGCTAACCTTTGGCTGGTTCCGTTTCTAAGTTTAGTTTCACATATAGTTGCTATAAGAAATGCAAGTGTGAAGGTTATATATATAGTGCTGCCGAATTTAATGTTTTCTCTTGCTTATATCAAATATTATGCTGTGGACTGACAGACTAAATGATTGTTCGTGTAGAAACTATTTATAAATATTTAAGAAATGAACTAAACAAATTAAGTATTAAAATGCATATTTAGAAGTGTTCACCATATGTTATCATTAAACAGACCAGAAAGTAGTTTTGAATGCTAGTGAAACATGGTTTCAGTTCCACTGTACAGTTTGAAATCACGATAGATAATATAATAGATTTGGTAACAATAAATATAGAAAGAATAAATTATTATACACCATTTCCATTAGATCTTCCTTAACCATTCAAGCTCTAATAACCAAAGTTGCTGAGGGCACATCTTGTTGGCATGAGTAGTAGCCCTGTGAAAATTGTGGAACGCGGAATTTAACCCCGCCTACTGCACATATAACGTTGTTCAAAACTACTAAAAGTCCGATAAATCTATAAATAAATGCGTCAAAGACATAAAATTTCACACCCGGGATGGTACAAAAGTGCTTTATAGGAGCAAGTGTCAAATTTGAACGATGGGCGTGGCACCGCCTACCTTTAGGTGCAATCACATATCTTCGGACCTACTAGACAAATTTCAATCAAGCTACATTAAAGTGCAAAAATGGGTGAAATCAGACAAAAACCACGCCAACTTTCCATTTAACACAATTTTAAATTTCATCTGATTCTTTCACTTTCCAGTATACTCAATTAATAACCAATTAATGTTTCCGAATAAAACTTAGCATGAACAGTGCCTTTTAGGTGTGTAACCTTATGACTAAAACGTCTCCAAATCGGTCTAAAACTATTCAAGGCCCCAGATATGGACCACAGTTCCTGTTGCGAACTTTTTATCGAAAATATCGATAAAACTGTGAGATATATTATAGAAATTCGGAGAGAATCCTTTTCTGATAATAATATGTCTGTATGTCAAAAATGGCTTATACCTAATAGAAAGATTTTCGAACTTCCGGCTGACTTTATATCGCATATAACGGCAAATAAGTAAGATATCCTAGCGAAATTAACTGACTAATATTGGATATACTATACTTCAACGTATAATATTGAATATACTATATAGTTAATTGCCGAAAATATGCGAAATTGGTTAACAAATTACCCTAACTCTCATACATATAATGATTTTCGTTAATCTAACACACCTTATGCACCTAAAAGTATTTCGCCGGCTTTGATCCCTGCTAGTTGCAAGAGTATAAAATATTAGATTACACCGGAACTTAGCCCTTCCTTACGTTTTTTTCTTTCTTGTTTTTTTGTGAAAATCTAAGTGTTAGGTTTTTTGCTGACTGCATTTTAAATTAAAGCTTTCAGCGTAAATTTTATTTATATTAAGTAATAATTTAATATATTTAATTATATTTTTAAACATATATTATATAATATTTCCAGTTACAATATAAGTTTATATTATAAATACATACATATATACTATAAAATTTTTGAAATATTTTACTAACATCTTCTAATCTTTTCCATTTTGTTCAACAGAAATCAACTACGTTAGTATTTACTTGGAATAAATAGCACAAAACCGCCATAAAGCAAAAACAAAACGAAGAACATATTATTGGATATGCAACAAATCAAAAAACCGAGTGAAGGAGACTGTGAACTGTAATGGAAATGGAACAAAGTGGCAATGCAGGCATATTTATATAATATAAGTTGAAAATTTTATAAATTCGTTTTAAAGAAAAAACAAATGTATATAAACACATAAACAGAAGTGAGTCTACAGAAATAGTATATGTGTATAACGGCGCTAATATGCCAAACTCGAAAATATTTAAGCAACACACAAGAAAGAGCGTAAACTGCTGTACAGTAAATTTAAAGAGAAATTAAATGAGATTTCTAAAAAAGAAAAGTGTTAAAAAATATTCGATAACAGAAATTAGTAGCAAAAAGTGTTTAGTGGTATATTTTGTAAGTTATATAATATAAATTTATAGATTTTTGTACAAACGTTGTTTTCGAAATTAAGTTTTTGCAATGCGAACGATTTATTAAGCCAATATTGAGCAAAGGTTTTCACGACAGTATGCGTTAGGCGCTAACTAAATGATAAATTAAGTAGCAGAGAAATTGACGACACACTACAACAACAAATACATACAAGTAAATATATACATAGATTGAAATTCATTCGTTCTGAAAACTCTTTAATTAGACGTAACCCAAAAAAATACGCTTACATTTGGTTTTTTCGCTTAAACCAAGCTGTTTTTGCAACAGACACTTAAAAATTAACGGTAGCTGCAAATCTACAGTTACCGATTTTTGAGTTGTTTCTTCTAAACCAAATTTTTTGACGGAATGCGATATTCTTGCATGCAACGGCATGCGCTTGTTCACTACACACATACTTACATATATGGTAGAAATAGTTACAACTGAAATATGTTTAAGTTAACAAACAAAAATAGCCATGACAAAGAGTGAAGGGTTTAAATACTATTTTTTATAGTTTTTGTTTTTTATAAACAATTTTATTTGTACTACTTAATAGACAAATTATGGAATTGTGCAGCATACACATGCTTGCAAATCGTGTTGTATACACGCATATGCACACACACATACATAAATCTGTAAATATGTTACTTAATTGTCCAATTTAATAATGAACAAATGTGAAGCACGGTATTTCATGCGCTTTTCCTTCAAGTATTTTGTTTGCTTAGAATAAATATTATATATATAATCTAATCCTCGTTTGTATGCTTTCAACTTGTATTAAACATATTTATTTAACTCACTTTAGTATTATTTGTGTATTTATATAATTAATTGAACGCTATTTATACATTTATTTAACGCTCAAATCAATTGACGGCGTTGAACTTGAATAAAATATGCCTAAAATGTAAGAGAAAATAATTGACAAACATTTTCAAAATTAGTCTAATGTTAAGTTGTTAAGCTGAAGCCTAAACTATATAAATGAATGATAACATATAAATGTAGTTAATAACAAGAGCAAGCGTCTCTAGTAGTGCAGCGCAACATGCAATTTCTTTGATAACTATAAGAGCATGTATATATTTAGATACGAAATGCTAATGTAAAGCTAAATTGTTTGTGTATGTAAATTAGATGTTAAAAAAGGATTTCAAAAATAAAATTCGAAATATTTGAAATAAGACAGCATATGGCTCTGGTACTACTTTGGTGGCCAGTACTCGTACGTATGCATGTAAAGGCCAAACGAAAAAAATGCACCTTAAAGCAAAATAATGGAAATAGGTATTTTTACATACATATGCAAGGTGTACATATATATGCTGCTGTATGAATTTATGTGCATAAAATGTATAGCTGATATTTCAAAACTTTTTTCAAAAATAAATAAGAAATTAAATGCAAAAATGTTTCCAGCCCATAATGCTTCAAAATTACTTGCACACTAATGTACACTAAACTGTAGGCGACACAACGCAAAAATCACAAATCAGCAAGAAAATCAAAAAAGCAGCTGAAAATTTGCATTACTGTAAATAAACGCCGATTATAAATAAAATTTAATGAAAAAAAGTTTTGCGAAAATTCAAGAATTTATATTTATCAAGCAAACCTATTGCTTATAATGCATTATAATAATTATTTTTATTTTATTTGTTTTGGGTTTTTTTTTTTATTTTTAGTAAAAAAATTAATTTTTTAAAATACTGAATTGTAATAACTACATGAAGCGACAATATATAATTTGGCATTAAAAATTATTAAAAAATACAACAATGCACATACTTCAAAAGCATTAAACGTACAGCAACTAACGTATTTTGCAAAAATTAAATTATCATAATAGTAAAAATAATTTAATAATAAAAGCAAAATCCGTCAGTTCAGCTATGAGCTCATGCTGCAGCATAACAAGCAAGAAAAAAACAAAAACAAAATAAGAACAAGAAAGTAACGAAAATGTATTAATTATTTAGTTATTTAAATAAGCACAGCAACAATTTGCAGCAACAAATCTATACACAACAAGCATATATACATACAAAATATAAACACACATACACATAAATACATATAGAAATAGAGATATGTGTAAATTTAATTTCAAATAACGCTACTAGGCTAAAATGTATAGCATACATTTAAGATCATAAGCAATTATTAAAAACTATATATATAAATATATATATATTTTACAATTAATTAATACTAGTTATAAAAGATGTGAAAAGTAAATTCTAATTATTGTAATGACTAACATTATTGTGAAAGCGTAACAAATACAACAAGCTGTAGAAAACTAAAATACATTGCATATAAGGATTTTGCGTTAGAGCAACAGCAACAAAAAAATATATATATACATACATAAAACAAAATCAAAATATTTATTCATGACATACTTGCTATCCAACTACTCGACCATAGTCAACAATGTAGCAGATTAAAAAGATATCACTTATTAGACTTCCCCTTTCGATTCAATTGAACTCATCTTACAAGGTGCGTTCCAAAATTGGTAAAACTTTAACCATAACGTGTGGTGATGATTGCCTATCCCGTAGCAGAGTGGAGTGGAAGTTGGCGTTTGTTGTACGATAATGCGCCGTCACATCGATCGACGCTTGTGGCCGATTATGTGACAAAAACTCACATTTTAACAATCAACCACTCCCCGTATTCACCTAATATGACACCGTGCGACTTCTACCTTTTCGGAAAAATGCATTTGCCGATGAAAGGAAAGCGTTATGCAGACGTGGAGGCCATTCAAAAGGCTTGCACCGGTATACTGGCGGCCATACCGGGCAACAAGCTAAAACACTCGTTCAACATGCTTTTGGACCGTGCAAAAAGCTGTATTAAAGCAGAGGAAGACTATTTTGAATCAAATTAATTGATTTTGCCGATAAACCATTTGTTCTTTTTTTTTAGAGTCCTGTTTACTTTGGAGCGCACCTTGTAGTACTTCAACATTTTTGTTTTTAACAACAAATTTCATTATTGTCATTTTATTTATAAGACAGATTCTAAATAAAATTGAATGTTACACCAAAAAAAAAAATGTTGCGAAAGAATTCAACATTTATTGTTCGACGAAATCATGAATGGATTACAATTAAGCTTGTATCTTATTAACTTATATTATAGGTCATAGACTAAGTTAGTTTTAGAACTGTATTAAATTATATTAACCTCAACCGAGATACATGTGACACAAACGCAACCGGAGAGGTTAAATTTAATACATTGAATTGATGGACAAAACGTCAACGAGAAGAACGGAATTGTTTCAATTAGCAATAAGCGGTTCGGATGAAGGTCTAGACCAATTTCATTCATATTTAGCGCTAAACCACATAATTTTTAAGAAAGCTTATCCACTTAATTTCATTAAAATATCACACATTTCGATCAACCTGAACGGTTCAAAATCAGGTGAAATGTCGGAAATCAGTATAAATATATTGGGGGCAGAGAAAGGTCTGGGTTGACTGCATTAACTTTTGACATTGCTCATGTATACATATTCGGCATAACGAAAATCGCCATATGTAATGCGAGTCGAAGTAATTGGTAAAACAATTTCACATATTGTCGACACTAAACTATAGTTTAACCAATATTAAACGTTCAGTTAATTTTGCTAAGATATACATATTGGCCGAATAAAGCCATTCCAAAGTTTTAAAATCTTATATTAGATATGTGGTAGATACAGATAGTATTGAGCTGATTTTATGTAGTCTTGTCATTACTGCATACTCGTATTATTATCAACACATACATATATATAAGGAGTAAATATGTTTGAAAATCCTGCAATTGGTTATATAGGGGCGAGGGCAGGTTTTCACCCAATTTTATTACATTTAGGCACAAATCGCATCATTACTAGAAAAACACAATCACTCTATTTAATTAAGATAACTCATATATTGGTGGATATATGCGGTATAAAGTCAGTCGGATGTTCAAAAATCATTCTATTAGATATCTGGGGTTTACGCGAAGTCTTTACCACCCATTTTAGACATACGGACAAAATTACAGATATTTACGGGAAAAGTCAGCCATAGGCACGCTTATCTTTCCCTAATCAACTGGGTCTACATATGTATTCTGAGAGAATTTAATATCGTGTTATATGGGATGTAGACTTGGTTGTGATCCGATTTGGACCACTTTTAAAATGCAATTTAACAAGTAAGAAAGTGTTAAAACGGGGGTGTTATGGAGCTGGTAAATTTAATACTTCTGGTGTTTTTCTTACCGCTATTTAAGTAGTTTTAGGCAGATCCGTTATATGAGGGGTATTCGTGGTTATTCGTTCGGTATTCCGATTTTATTCGTTTTTACACTGTATGATGAGGTACGACAGAAAACTCTTAAACCTTAATTTTTAATAAAAGTCACCGTTAGCATGGGCAGATGCACGGGCGGACGTTTTCAACTCCCCGCGTCATCCTTACCGCTTTTATACATATAACACCATAAAAACTTTTATACTCTGTGTTGCGTGAGAATAAAAAAAAAAACACCTAGTGAAGCGAAGTCCTTACCAGCCCGTTGAAAAGCAGAGAAATTTTCTTACAGCGCTATATTGCAATCCTCCTCCAAAAGCGGATATACGATGTATTTTAAGAGAATATCTAAACGGTCCGATACAAGATGGTTAAAGATTGCTCCAGTTTTTTTTTTGTTCGGTGAACTCTGTTCGAATACATTAGGTAAAACTGCTTGTTCTTTCTTTAGTGACTTGGCAAATTTTGGAAGAGCTTTGAATATTACTTATAATAAAATAAATGATTTACGCTTCGCTGTTACATCAAAGTAAATTTTGTTATTCCTATTACGTGGTCGCGGGATCGACTCATCTCATATTTGAATATTCAGCTTTCCAGACATTTTTTCGAAATGGTCAGGACGACGTTTCACTTTTGTCGAGTTGGTGTGATATCTTCTATCATTTAGGTCTCCTTGGTCTAGTTTAGTTTCATGATCCTTGTAGCATTAATCAACCTATTTGCTGAAGATTTAAACAATATGACTAGCCTGCTAGGTATACTATTTAAAGAGATTTTTATGAGATGCGTACAAAACTGCTGTTGTACGAGTAGTATTTATTTATGTATTCTTTTCATCTTCGCGTTGTTCATTCATTTAGCTAACACACACACTTTCCTATTCTTTTGTAATGTGGATTACTCAAGTCTCAAACTGATCTATTAAATCTAAATAACAAGTAGATGTCTATATGCATATATATTTATATAATTTATATAATTTCTTTATTTACTTAATTTTTTTTTTTAACGATATCTCAAATGTTTTATTATTCAAACTAGAAAATCCAAATAACTAAAAAAAATTCTTTATAAATAAGTATTATAAATAGTAGATTATTGATTTAAAGCTCTTGATCTCATAATTTCGTATACTAAACCGTTGCAAGTTTAATTTGACAAGTCCTCGTCAAGGGTTTTATTTCTTCTTCAAGTTCATATAAACGACTTTTGTTTATGGAGTGCTGACGTTGGCCGACAAATCGAAGCTCCTATAGCTTGAAGACTGTCCGCGCTTTTGTATTATATGAGTAACTTGTTAAATACTCGTAAGTTGAACAGTTTTGTCTGCTATAATAGAGAATGCATTCGCAGGAAAATAACAAGACAACTGTAGTCCTTCTCCTATAATCGGTGGTGGTGGACTTCTTTTGTTTCTGGTAAACGGTTCTAGTTCTGATTCAAGATATTTTGTTTGATTGTTCAGATGATATCAAGCTATACTTCTTCTCTTTCACTTGCGTTCAGGTAAAACTCAAGGATCATACCGCTGTTGTGTAATCTATGAACGGCCTATAGTGATTGCCTTGTAATTTACCAGAAACAATGACTTATTGAACTTTTCGTCGGGTTAATTCTTCGTCAAACACTTTTATTTACCTTGTTACTAAGTAAACTTTTCGATCAGGTATGTTGATGTAAGTTTGAATTTTAATGACTAATAATAAACTTGTGTCAAAGAATTGTTTACAAAATATTTGCCTTGTTATTAATAAAAATACTTTGTTAAGCTTTGCATTCGGTCGGCAATGACCGTTATTTTGCTATGCACTGTAAGGAATAAAAACGCATTAAAATGCTCGTACTCGTAACATTTTTCTTTGCTTAAGCCATGGTCTGCCTAGTAGTTGCGATCCAAGTCGTCATGAAAATTGATGAAAACACTCCGAACAAAATGTTGATTTCAACAGGCTTCCACATTGCTGCGCCACCAACCAACCTATCTACAAAAGGTACGGCACTGTGATACTCTGTGTACTCGTCGTCTGGGTCCATCAATGAAATCGCAGAAAAGACGGTGCTATTATTAAACGGCAACAAAGGACGATAACTGTAGATCATTGGTGTCTTATCAACCGTATAGATTTTTCGAAAAAGCTCGATCTAGTTGAAATTATGTGAAAGAAAGAGCGAGAAAAATAATGAAAACTAAATTATTGTGGTACAGAACACTAAAATATTCCAAGGGGTTTACAAATTTATTACAAATTTATGAACGGTGAGGCTATAATTTTTGTTATCGTAATTTGACTAAGATATCTAGCATACTGGTATGAAGCAGAAGGATGAAAAACGCTATATTGTGAATATACAAACTGGGTAGAAATCAAGCTCACTAACCGATATGAAGCGAATCAAACAGAGGTGCGAAAATAATTCTATTGTATATATGGAGACTAGAGGAAGGTCTAGATGGGATTAAACCATTTTTGATACTTGAACACATTACCCCAAGACATTTTGGCCATATACTTTCATTTTGATAACTAATATATGGTGCATAAAGTGTATTAGATGTAGAGATTTAGTGGACCGTGACACATCTATAAGTTTTTGTGTTTGAAATGTTCACATGTTTGAAATATTACTGAAAGATTTTAAGATTTGTTAATTACCGTTCGCCATTATACCAAATCACGCAAAGTCAAAAAGAATAGCACCTCCTCGAAGTAATTTCGGTATCTAATGAAATCTACATATGGATCTAACTCTAAAAATATGTCGTCAAATTGACTATTATTCCCGCCGGTTCTATTATGGTATATCGAAATTGAATTCTCTGAGACTCAGCGTTGGCTTAACTCTTACGCATATGTAAGAATACTTACAACATTAAATTCATACCTGTTTTTCAGAAATATAAATTGGGTATTTGAAATCAATCCATATAACATCTTCACTGCATGGTGGCGTTGTCAATGAACCGGTATAAGTATAATAGTGATTGATTTCAGAAGTAATAAAGCCCCACAACTTTACTGGACTGCGGAACTTGGCGACCGCACCTGGTCTGACAACATTCTCTATTATCTCCATCAAGGGATCATAAAGAAAGCTGCTCGATTTCGTCACCTAAAAATAAAAACGCAAGAAAATCATAAATTTCAACCACGACACTTTTGAAGAAATAAATGATATACCATATAATTATAGGCTAAAACTGCCACACCGTTACTTTCCTTCGCTGCTTTGGCGAGTGTTGGGTATTTGCCATTTCTGAAAACCATATGCAACTCAGCTGGAAAAAAGGCAGTACTGGTGCGATCCTCACTATCAAATGTGTCATTGCCCATCCAGTGAAAATATAATTGTTCGTAAATAAATTTCTCATTTAGCGGTCCTCCCGATATAGCTGGATGATCATCGACATATGTTAGCCGAATAAAAATGGTGTATCCATTATTTATAAGTTCAGCAGTTTTTGGTTCCTCCTGAAAGCCCCATATTGCAAATGGTGGATAAGTTTGATTAACTATGTCCACAGAGTCAATATTTAGTGGATTAGGAAGTTTGCCAGTGCACTTGGCCACTGTAAAAATTAAATTTAATTATTAGGTTAGTAAAGTTAATAAAAATATTAATAATTAATATAATTAATATGAAGATTTGTTTATGTACTCGTAGCTGATGCGTTCTGCAAAACTAAATTAGCGGTGGGTTCTATAGAATAATAACCAATGCGGTAACATTAAGGTGAGAGTAGGGTTTAAAAATTTATGTGATGCATAATATCTCAAGAATGTAGTTTTTAAATTTTATGTCAGTTGGAGTTTTAGATCAGATTTTAAAACTTTAAAAACGTTTTTCCCAAAACTCGTGTTTTCAAAGTCGGTGCACCTCATAACTTCCAAACTACTGCACCGAACGTTTCGAAATTTTACACTCTTTCTGTACATAATTTACGAGTAACGATGGAGGCAAACAGTTTTTATATTACAATTAAAGTTTTTCGCAAAAAATCGCGTTTTTTCCTTCAAATTGTTCCAAAAAAATGAAAAATTTAAATTTCGAAAAACCCTCTCGACGTTACCACCAAATTATTTTTTTTCCGAGACACGTTCGAATAACATTGTCATTGCCGTATTTTTTGATGTTTCTTCGTAACAATTTTGCATAACATTATTCGCATGTCATACTTTTATGTAACATTGGTCGAATTAACCCTACTCCCCCCTTAAGTCTAAGTCCTTAGCAGACATTTTAGGACTGTGAGGCCAAAGCGTTAACTGTGCTTAAGATGTTTCTATTATACATCAATTGTTGTTTATAGGCTAAATAAAGAAATCCGGCACTAACTTCTGCCTTGTTGATTAGAGAATAAGATAAAATGTCAAGCACATCGAAAGACAATGATTAAAAAAACTGAAAAATCGCTCAAGACTTTTTTGTTGCCTAAAAAGTGCACCCAGTTCCAAACTCTATGCACAACTTATATTATATTATATTAGAGTTAAGTTTTAAGTAAAGGGCGTGGTGGTAATCAGATTCACACACGAATCATGATTGTGATTCTATATCGATTATTTACGAGTAGATAGGAAAATAATGTATGTTAAAGTTTAGCCCAAATTAACTTTGAAGGTTGCTGGAATCTCCACAGGCATTCCATTGCCAGAGAGATCTTGTATCATATTTAGTCTCTCTGCTGGTTTTAGTAATTTCTGTTTATAATAAGGATTCAAGAATATTGCGGTAGTACCTTCTAAAAGGCGCTGAATGAAGTGTGGTTTGTGAAACAAGTTCTTCAACCCTTCAGTTTTTTCATATACACTAGCGGACTCGACAGACGTTGTCCTACGTCTTAAATGTAAACTTTTTGAAATTAGCTGTAACAATTAGACCGTTTTGATGAACATTTTTATTAGAAACTTTTTACAATATTTAACGTCATTCATACATATTTATCCCAATTCGACCAATAGCGTGTGAGCAAACACATAAGTATGCTTTCGGAGATGTTAAATGTAGAAGCTGTATTCAATGAAAACTTGAAGTCGTTTTAATTGAAGGTGAAAAGGTTGAATCTTAAACTACTCTATAACGGGTATTTATTCGTAGAGTTAATTATCTACAAAAACTGAAGCGTATTGTCAGAGGATGTACAATATTTCCATGTAAATTCAGGGAACTATATTTGTTACGTTTTTTCTAAATTTGAACGTTTTTTTTACACAACATATACAATAGTATTGTTTAAATTATTGCCCATCTGAAGATATAACATTTCTCCATCCCAAAAGAACTGCGCCCGCTTGATGGCAAAAAATCAATCAAAGCAATGTTCTGATGTGAACCGTATTCCAATGAGGGCGTTCTGCTTCGAACGGAACAAATGGTAGTCAGAAGGGACAAGGTCTGGTTTATAAGATGAGTGGGGCAAAATTTCCAGCCGATAGTTTTTAACCGGTCTTTAAACATGAGGAAAATTATTTGCTCGTGTCTAGTTCTAAATTCCAGACATTTTTCGGTAATCCCAATCGGTTTAAGCCGATTTTAGAAGCTTTTAGCACAGCACGCCCTTCAGATCCCACCGAACACAGAGCATACCTTGGCGTCATGAATATGAGGTTTTGCCGTTGATTCAGCTGATTGGCCAGGTTTCATATATGATTTTTTGCGCTTACGGTTGTCTAATAGATCCAGTTATAATCCGATGCAAAGACAACTTCTTTTTGTAGCGTTTATGCAGCATTTCCGACATACCAAATCATTGTTTAATGTTTCTTGGTTTTAATTCATATGACACCCAATTTGCTTGCTTTTGTATGTATCCGATTCGTTCATTTTGGCAACAATCTTCATCGAATGTTTGGGTCTATCATCAACGAGAAATCTCGGTATACCTACTTATGTGTCTTGATCTACATCGACGCCAAAGCAACAGGACTTACGGTGTTGAATCGAATCTTTTTAAGGACTTACTAACATAAAATCGACAGTTTCCGATTTTCATCTTTCAAAAAGGTTATGCGAATCCTTATTTCGATTTCCAGTCATACCACAAATTACGATGTTCACTGAGAAGCAAGAACGTCATTGAATAAGTTAAACCTTTGCCCTAAAAAATCTAAGCCAAAGTGAGTTGCTCTCTGAGTACGTGCTCTTGTCTTCTCAACGATTACAAGCGGGGCTTTTAATTCTCAAAGGCAGCCTGTTGTTTTGTGAATAAATTTCGATAGATCTAGTTTATGGCGCTGCTAAGTGATATACATATTTCTATCAGTAAAAATTCCTAATTCTGAAAATTGCACAACAATCCTTTCATTTTTAAATATTCTTATATATGTAAGTACAAAACGACCACATAGAAGATTTAGAAAATAATTTTGGTTTTATTTTAAAATTTCACTTAGAAAACAAAAAATCTACAAACAGATTCTAATGCGCATATGTATAAATTTAACTTAATCTTCAGATGGTATGTATGTAGTAAGAATAGTGCTTTCAATTAATTATAACTAAAATTACACGAATGTATATACATATGAATACGAGAACTTAATTAACAATTCTTTGATTATGTACATACTGGTTGAATTACCGTATGTATTTAAATTATTAATAGTATACAAATGGTAGAATATATGTTAATTAGAGTCCTTCTTAAAAAATTATGCGTACAATTTTGTCAAATTCAATTCTCTCAGCCGATAAATCCGGTATTAAAGATATCACATACGATTTATTTTCGATAGGAGACTACTAAACTTGTGGGTATCAAAATTTATGGTGACATCTTTGGTACTATTAAAAAATGAATGAAATTGAATGAATTTATTCCAGTGTATTAAAATTTACTATATTACGATCAAAGTATATGTTGAGATTTCCGAAATCTGATGTAAAATTTCCATCACACATTTACCGCTCAACCTACTGTACACACTTGTATATACTTGAGCACATAGGCTAGGCATGCAATACTAATACTTTGGTAAGCGTCGAATAAGAAAAGTTATAACTGTTACCCAACTAGCAATACAAAAGTAATTGGTAAGGAAATATATACTGTTAATCCATTTCATTTAAGATAATTTAGTTATTTTTATTCACACAGCGGCAAACAAACTAAGCGAGAGCATCATGGCTATAACAGCGATCGCAAAAGGCTTCTGCATCGTGGCACCGCCAGCCAAATTATCAACAAAAGGTATAGCGCTAGCCGGTTGTTTGTTACGACGACTTGGTTCTCTCAACGTAAGCGATGAATAGACGGTGCGATCATTAAGCGGCTGAAGCGGGCGGTAGTTGTGGGTCATTGGCGAATTGTCGTGGGTGTGAAGATGACGGAAACGTTCGATCTAAATGAAAAATAGAGGTGACAAAAAAAAAAGATAATAAAATTGTAAAAAAAAACAATAAGTTTATGTCAGTTAAGAGAGTAATTAAGAACGAAAACGTTGCTTTTTAGACTTAACGATCTAAATTAAACAATGAAGGGTCCTTCACAAGCCTTTGATAAGCTTACATATCTTTTATTATATTATTTATATAGTTGTTCATTTAGTTCGCGTCGAAGTTGAGTCTCTTTCAACCTCCGAATACTTACTAAACTAAAGTTGTAATGAAAATTGAATGGTTCTATCTAAAGAATCTATGTTATTGTGTATGAAGGAAAATATCTACAGCCGTTTACGAGGTAATGCATATCTTCCATGTTGTAATATTAAGCGCAACAAGAAAGTTGTAAGACAATAACAACTCAACTTAAATTTTTTGTAAATGTTGAGTGGTTACTGATAATACGAAGTTGTGAAATTTCAACTTCAGTGGAGTTTAGCTATAAATCGAAAAAACAAATGCACTCCGTTATGGGCTCAGCCCTCTTATAAAGATTATCTTGATTTTGATCGGTCAGTTGGAATACTTTAGTGGTCCGAATTGAAAAATTTTTTCGGCTATTGTAGCGTTGTCTTGGATAATAATTTGTGCCAAATTCCGTGAAGATATCTTGGTAAATCCAAAAGTTTTTCATATATATTCTATAGTGATCAGATGGATATCTCAGAATGTAAGAGACTAGTTCGCGTATATACAGACAGACTGACAGACATAGCTAAATCGATTTGGCTTGTCATGGTGATATTTTGCGCCTAGATTTGGTTATACCTATACTTATACTTTACGAGCTTTCCGACGTTTCCTTCTGGGTGCTTTTAACTTTGTGGCGAACTTAATATACTCCCTTCAGTTTACACAAATCGAAACTAAATTTTTCCATCCCTTGAATGGTTTTTTGAGTTTTTGTTAAATCCGTCGTTATTCGTCTGAAGTTTCAGGCATACGTATTTCACAATCGATACTTTGATTGAATGAGGGAGTGTGTACTTTGTTGAACGATTGTTGTGGATATAAATGATTTAAGTTTAAGCTTTCAAGGTTTTCCCGAGCTTTCATTGACCTCGTATAATTAATAAGAACTAATATTTATTTAAAGTGGTATGACCTTCTGGTATTTATAGTCGAGTAAATTTATCTTATATTAAAATTGCTAACCTAAAATTTTTTTTTTATGAATTGACTACTTTAAAGCATAAGCAGGAATAAAAGACAGTGCTGTGAAGAGAAACTTTTTGACATATAATGCTAAGTTCCATTTAACACTACAAATACTGAAAGCCATGAGATTCTAACCTGATTTGCTGAGATGTATACCGGCTCTTTAAAATCAATCCAGGTCACATCCTCACTACAAGGAGGCGTAGTCAACGATCCTATATAAGTATAATAATCGTCAATTTCAATGTTACTGAAATCCCAAAGAATTGGTGGATTACGGAACTTGGCCACCGTGTCAGGCTTGACTACATGTTCTAACAGCTCTGTGAACTCATCATATTCTTGATTATCTTTTCTTGTTATCTAAAAAATTTATTAAATATGAAAATAAAGCATTAATATAAAACTGAAAATGGTGAATAAATGAATGGTGAACCTTATAGAAATACGCCAAAACAGTCACACCATTACTTTTCGCCGCCGCTTCCTCGAAGGTGGGATACTTGGTATTCCTAAAAACCATATGCAACTCAGCTGGAAAAGAGACATTGTTGATGCGATCCTCACTGCCGATT